GGAATGGTTCTAATCGAATTAGAACTATTTTTCTTTCTTTATAAACAACAATAAAGTACGTACATAATTCCGAATATCTCTGGATAATGAAATTAGTATTCGGGTGCTTTCGGAAATTCGAAGATTGCCGAGAGACATTAAGAAAAGTTGTACTGTACAAATGACACTGTTAACGACGTTGTATTCAATTTTCCATGTGCGAGTTTTGTGCATTACATTGTGCCTTCTAATCTTCACAAGGCAGTAATTGTTCGATAGAAATTAAAGCAAAATTCGGATTCCACACTACACTAAAAGTCCGTCTGATGTATCAACCGAGTATACATAACGTATGAGATCACGATAATCTGGTTGTATTTGGCTATCTCGGCAACAAACATTTGTAAAAAAGCTCTGATTTGAAAAATAAATTATACGAGAATGGTGGCGCTCTTTTGGACAACTAGTAATATCTTAATGGAGAGTTCATTTTATAATGCTTGTTGTATCGATTACTACAGTAAACGAGATTATTTTGACCTTCGTCAAGGTATAAGCATGCACGCTCGCATGCCACACAAAAAACACATTTGATACATCAGACTATACAAAATAAAAAAAGCATAAAATCGTAGTAAACCCACAAATCCATCACAACCTCCTAGTCTGATCACAGCTTTACTTACCATTTACTTTTTATATCTAAAATGTTCTTTACCAGATTTTTAAAAGAAAAAAAAAAATACAAAATGGTTTGTAAAAAAAAGCACAACACCATTGCTAGTCAATGTAAAATATAATGTTCTACTTAAAAAAAGTATAAAATTGCAAAGTTAATGAGAAAATGTATGGACAAAAATTTACTTAATTACTTACTTTAAAAAATAAGGTACAAAATTTACAAAAATAACACATTCTGTATTTGTTATTATTCCAAATTTTCATATGACGTTCGTAATCACACAATTCATCCATTCACACAAATTCATTTGAAAAAAACTTTACCTTAAATGACTAAAACTGACTATTACATCTAAGATGATAAACAACAAACGAGAACCAAGTATCCGGAGTCACAAAAACTGTATAATAAAAAAATACGTATAAATCTGGTAAGACGCCATACATTCGCTCTCTTCTTCACATTTAGTACAAAACAGAAATTAATTCTATATGAAATTCGACGATGTTTCTTTATTTAGCAGTATGTGCTCGAGACATTAATGATCCATTATATATATACCTAAGCAGTGGAATACCACTTTGGGACATGAAAGACTCCAACACTATTTCGGAAAAACACACATAAAAATATAAAGCGTTTCTTCGCTTTTCCATACAAACTAACGTTGCTTCAAATGTAAAATGTATGAGAAAAATCAATGCACTAACACAAATTTCTTTACGAAAAAAAAAAGTATATAAACTTGCGCACATGTCAAGTTATAATTAAATTTAAACCTTACTGCCCCGAACACAAACAACTAAATAGAGAAATAATTTATGGAATGTATGTGCATGATTCAACACAGAGACTTTTTAACACATACCTACGCATATGCCTGTTTAATTTAACATTTTATTTAATTAATATTTCTAAAAGTTAGTACTAGTTTCGATAGGGCATTAAAATCGTAAGATAAAGTTTTTACAACCCAATCACAAAACAGGTTCACCCCAATTTTCGGGTGGCTTATGACGTATGACCATATAATCAATTGATATTTTATATGAACATACAATATATTTTTAGAAGCAGTAATGCTCCTTACGAAAGAGCTCGTCCAAGATAATACTGCCACCTTGCCTATTTATACCGCCACTCAGTAACGTGCATTACTGCGTTCCAGTTTTGTAGGGTAATGGTGCTGGTGAATTTACAGGCACATGAGACTTGTCAACGAGACGGGCGCATTGCAGTTGTTACGGACAGGCATATCGCTTACCACCAGGCGCACGACTTATTCGTCCCGTCCCGTATTGTAAAATAAACCTAATTATCTAGTGTTGTTCACTACAGATTGTTGTATCAGCTGTTCTCTGCTACACTTTGGCAAATAAAGGCGTTGACCTCTTTAGGGTTAATGAACATTTGGAGAACACCGTCGTATATCGATTTTTTCTGTATAGTCAAAAAAGTATAGTGGTAATTTACAACAGAATGTGCTAGACAATCACGCCAATTCCCTGCAATATAAGTACCAGAGTAATGAAGTTAATACCGAGGCACTATTTACGGCCATTTTCCCCACTATGGATGAACTACACTGACTCGTGTTTTCGTTGACGGACATTGAGAGTAGTTCCGTAGGTCATCCATAGAGAAACCGTAACTACGGATTTCGTGACTCGAGAGTAGGGCCCCAGAACCAAATTAAAAAGATCGTTTCATACATCGATTCTACTGTGTATCGAATCGAGATCGTCAAAAACGTTGGCAAGACAGAATATGTTAACATTTATACATTTTGTTCAACAATCAAGTATTACAATTATTATTTTACATTATTTATTGAAACGGCACTAAAAAGTTGCACACTTCATACAAAATGCAAACAGCTGATACTACTTTTTCTGTATTGAAGATTTTTCTTTGGTTAGAATGACGAAAGTGGCTTCAAAGTTTACTCTACTGGCACCGTCCTAGTAGCATTTGATTTTAACGCCCTTTGCAAAACGTATAAGAACAACATCTCACTACGACAGAATAAGTAAAAATAAATCAAACCGGTAAATAACAATGTTCAACATTGTAGGCAGCTTATTATTTAGATACAACTAATGTACTTAAAGTTATTGTAATGATTTTTACGTTTCGTTAATATTTTTAATAATAATATTTAAATTTAATTGAATATTAATTTCGATAATCCATCAATGATTTTGCACAGTCAGCATAGGCAACTATTTACGTGGTTTTCTTGCAAAAAACATATTTTTATAATTACGATATACATAGAACAAATCCACTGCCTTTTCTATGATACAAAATATAGCGCATAGGGAGTGTTTGCTAGAGACCAAATCATCGGGCAATAACCTTTTTTACTGTGGCATAGCCAGTTTTTTTTATAGTCGAATTCAATTAGAGATAGCACACTGCCTTTCCTTTTGAAAAATTAAAAAATACTAACAACCACTCAGGATTACATTACTAACATTATAAACTTTTGTTCCATGACTTTTAATAATTCATGGGATTATACTTTCTTACAAAAGCATAAATACTTCAATAGATCGTTCCCCACTAACTAAAAAATAGCGCTAAATACCAGTCCGATGCAAAATGCAGGAGCGGGGGTGAGTGTCGACAGCGAAAACGCTTGTACTTACTGCCTACAAAAATTTTATTTATTTAATTTTATTTTATACGAGACTGCAAAAATTTTAAAGTTTAATTTTGGTAAATTTATTGTTTTGTCATGGAACAAGTTGTTAGTTATGATGTTAGTAACATAGTTTTGCAAAGTTGTAAGTTTTTTACAAATTATCCTGTATATAGGTAATGAAACTATTTTTCCGGATCCGGAAGAACTCGATAATCCTGTATATGTTTGGTTTGCTTTCTAACGAACTCGCTGGAGTAGAAGCAGTCAAAAATTAACACGTATGCTTTAAAGAAAACATTAATTTTTCATTAAAACCAAGAACCCTCACACTAAAGTCAGTTTAGCTAACTCTAAATGAAAATCCGACGCTTGATAGTGAAGTTGGCTATACTCGATACAAAACATGTTTATTACAAACGCGGAATAACCTTTATTTATCATATCATAGATAAGTCTGTCGATCTATTTAAGAAATTATGAAATATTTGTTGACTCCGTGCATCTCACTTGCGCCATACAGTGGCTGCAGGCCGTTCCGCTTACAGAATGCACTGACATAACAAATTCACTCATAAGCAGCAACCATCATTTTGCAAAGTTATGTCACCTGTTGTCATATTCATTGGACGCGATGTACGGATGAAGACAGACTTAGGGCGTAATCACACGAGCTGCATTCCACAGAGGTAAGCGAAGAAGCTCATGTCTAGCAATACAAGGCATGGAACGGATTGGAAACGAAGTTTTGTAACGATATTGTACATAGCATAATGAACTTTATGGTCAATTGTATAATATACAAACTAGATACGTGTCAAAAATCACATAGCGCGTCTTCCGCGGAATTCTCGCGCATGCCCGAGAATGCGCGCGCATGCCCGAGAATGCGCGAGCATTCGCGAGAAAACCGCAGTTGCCATCGGCGATGCTTGGGGCGAGGACGCGCGCAGCGAGGCGAATATGACGCTTCCATTCCATTCCATTCCATTCCATTCCGCTGCATTGTAAATTGAGCCTTAGCCACATATTAAGCTATACAAATTGTAAATTTTTTAAACGGCAAAATATTAAAATTTATTACATGATGTAAGGTAGAATGTGAAATAATTTTAGCTGTGTGTCCCTATATGTCTACATCGTAGCTTTTTGCGTAATTTTACACGTGATACAAGCGTATCTGGTATGCGAAATCTGTTTTCGATTTTACCATTGCACAGAGCCAATAGGCGTACAAAACATTTTGTATCTGATAGATAGTATAATACGTACACAAGCAAGCACCTTTCGAGGTAGAAAATAACTACGATTTGTGGTTGCGAGTTGAATAGTTAATTACAATTTTTACTTAGACAAATTTAAATCAGGCTGAGCGCGAATTAACCACCAATTTCTTTGAGATTTTAATCATGACAAGACAGAAATACATTGCAGGTGCAATATCTGTTGCAATTCTCGCATTATTACTTCTCATTTCGGGACAAAATTACGCACACGTTTTCTTGTAGCGTATTTTACTCTAAATTGTCCCTAGCCACCTTTAACTTAGTTCCATTTTTAAGCACAATTTTTTTTTATTTCCATGTCCTTAGCAATAAAATCTTGCAGTCATTTCGCAACATATCCTTGTATATTGCAAGTTGAACGGCCTGCTTGGCGTAACGGCTATAGACAGGTATTACTTACTTTTCTAAAGGTTTTTTTGTGCACTAATCTCAGGCGCGAAAGTGTGCCATCTAACTTTGTTCCGCTGTCCTAGAGTTTTTCTTTTCAAGTAGGCTTCGGATTCAGGTTGGTCGGAGCAAGGACAATTTGTTCAAGTGAGCTTTTTTAAATGGCTTGTATCTGGATGTCTACCTAACGTGGTAGGCGTGGCAAGTTCTGGTTCTCTATGATATAGTGTACGCCAGCGATACGATAGGAAGAGTTTTAGTATTCATAATATATAGCAAATCGCGCTCGGCCCGAATAGCATAATTCTATGGCAACACTGTTACATCCTGTCTCTGGCAGAGTGCTTACTTACGTCTACTCTAGCTCGTATCTTCTCTCGCCTCCATTTTATTATACAATCTGCAAATAAATAAGGTTTACAGTAATGTTGTGAGGTTACATCAAATTTAAATGTGGGAATAATTTCATAGTTTGGTTCAATGTCAACCATCGAGTATATGTACAACTAGAAATAGAGACGAAACGTCATTTAATTTGTTTGAAAATTATTCTGCCAAATGATTACAGTGATAATGCTCCGATTGGCTAGCCCAAGTTCGAAACAATTGACAGGTGTCGTCAATTGTTTCACTTGAAATCGACCAGTTTAACTTGAGCTCTGCTATAATGGACGAAAATTACATATTTAATTATCGATGAAATGTGACTTCGTTTGTTTTGTAACTAGATGTTTTGCTGTAGAGATATTATCTTCATTACAATAAATACAGAATATTCTTGGAATATACGGAGACGTACACACAGGTCAGTTGTTGGCGCTGTACTATTTCAGCTTTCTATTTCTGGTTATATACTCGATGATGTGAATAGAATGCCTTATGTATTTTGCTAACAATTTATTTTTAAAGAGCGCTGGGAGAATGATACCTCTCCTTCTGTTTTAATTATCAATTAAAAAAAACAAGTTGAATTCGTATTTCTTAAGGTTGGAAAACCGATTTTCCGTGTGGTCGAAATATGTCAAAGCGTCTATTTTGGGAGTCACTTGAACTTAAATGGTTACCTGTTTCGATTATTGCAATAAACTCTCACCAGTTCACTTGTTGTGGAACTCCTTGATGCACAGCGCGCAGGACCAAGAGCCCTCCGGCGGCGTGTCGAGTGGCGGCGCTAGGCAGTACATGTGGTATCCGCGGTCGCAGTCATCGCAGAATAACAGCTGATCCTGCACCGTTACGGTTATCAAGATGTATTACTACTATCGTTTTATATTCTTGTTGAACAGTTTATTACTACAATATCGCACACTCTACAAAAAAAAAAGATAAAATTCAGAACATTTTTGGGAACTAACAAGAAAGAAAAAATACTAAAAGAAACTAATATCGCACATGAGACTGACTGGACTTGACAAAACAAAATTTTAAAGTTCGAAAAAATTACAGTAAGGATCTTATTGCGAACAATAAGATTATTTTTATTTATGCATAATATTTAGTTATTCTCTTATAAACCAGAATATATTTTTTTTGCTTCGATTCAGTAATTTTTAGAACTCTGAAATCGTGTCTTCTCAATTTCATCATTTTTGAGTTACGACAGTATTTGGTTTCATGTGCGATATATAACTTCGCATATCAAACAGAAATTAGGCATATCTGGCCCCTGACAAAAGCGTATTATGCCTGGTGCCCAGTGCGTAATTTTATTTTTTATGCCAATTGGCCAAAAAATATTATACTAATATGAAGAATATAACCGAAGAACGGCGATAGTCCTTTTTTATTTAGAAATATTCTTAACTACAAAGAGGTTTATCACAAAAAAATACGAAATCATTAGTAGTGTTTTGACATGTCTTTAATTGTAATCGCAGGGCTCTTGTATCCAAAAAAGAGGACCTTTTAAGACTCAAGGCTTGTTTACTGTTAGGCTTAATTTATATTGTCGCGGAACGAAATGGAAGCGAAGTTGTGTAATAAAATAAAACTAGATACGAGCTAAAAAGCAGGTCGCGCCTTGCTAGACAATTCCCGCGCAGTCTCGGGAATGCCCCGTATCTAGCTCATTATGCTATGTATAATTTCATTACAATAATTCCCTTCCATTCCATTATACGGCACCGTAAATCGAGTCTTAGGGCTAGCACAAACCAGCGAACGGCAAGGGACCGATCTCAGCCTATCGCAGTAATAACATAAAATATACATTCACAAATTCAATATCCTATGTCTTCGCGTCTGCCGGTTTGCACTGGCCCTTCCTTACTCATCTACAGCGATCGACGATTTTTTCATATAAAAAGCGCGATTAGTATGAAGCGTGCGAGCGCGTGCGAGTGTAGAGACTTTTCAATGAATAAACCATCGATGAATGTGTTTTTACCCTAATACATACGTCATTGTCACTAGTGCCGCAGACTGAGCAGCACTTGCACTCGATGCATTGCCAACGATACTTGCGTACGGACACGATCATATTTGCCGTGAACTGGAGGCACGTTGGGTGTCCTGTTAACGCAATATAAAATCAATAATAAGTTCGGATGGCAAGTTGTGGAAAAATGATATTCGAAAGCAATAAAAAAAAAAAATATATATATATATATAAAAGGAAAGTTCAAGAGCTTAGGGCGCCTTCAAATTAGATGCTTAAGAAGTGCTGCAGTGGCGCGTTACTTCTTTCTTCACTAATTGTGACTGCAGAAGTGTCGCGCGCGTGTTACGACAGTGGCGCTGCGACTGCGCTTCTATATACGACTAATTTGAAGGCGTCCTTATTGCACTCAGGAATACAAAGAATTCAAATTTATGTGGATAATCGACTAACACGCATTTTCCCATAAGCGGCTGGCCGCGCGCGACACTTTATTTATTCAAATAAGTCATTACACTATACCCATTAACGTAGCCGCGACTCTGGGGGTCTATTACCGTTGTCAGTCCGAAAAACATTGACATGATTGTCGGCCCCGGTTGTGTGTGGCCAGGGCGTCTGTCTCGTGAGCAGCTAGCGCGTCTTAGTAGCGGTCTAGTCGAGGGCTGAAGCGAGGAGACGCGCGGGACACTGCGACTGACCGGTGGAAAGAGGCGGATCCCCTTATGGCGCTCGTACCATAGGGGCGATCCGCCCTGTCCTCGTAGAGTGGGTAAACCGGTCCCACGGGCCACTGTCGTACCACCTTGTGCAGGTGCTGACCGGGCACGGCTGCTTCGGTCACTACCTGCATAAGGTGGCGAGGAGGGAACCGTCCCCGTCGTGTCACGAGTGCGGCGCTGCGAATGACACCACAAATGACACCGCGCTGCACACCTTAAAGGTGTGCAGCCGGTCGGATGAGCAGCGCCGCACTCTGACGGGGACCATAGGGCAGGACCTCTCACTGCCGAGCGTGGTTGCCGCCATGCTCGATAGCGAGGAGTCCTGGGAGGCGGTGGTCTCCTTTTGCGCAGAGGTTATGTCGCAAAAGGAGGCCGCGGATCGGGTGCGCGAGGACGCGGCAGACGCGCACCCGCTCCGGCGCAGACGTACGGGGAGAAGGCGAACGCAGTTCGCTGTTCGCCTGATCCCCTAGTGAGGCCAGCGGACTCTGGACAGGGACTGCGGAGCCTGCATTGCACGGCCTCACTCGTCTGGGGGGCGGGTCGGAGGACAACCGACTCGCCCCTCCGTTGGCGCGGGAGCCCTGGCACAAGCTAGGGCGGCCGGGCGGCGTCGTGGTGAATGTTCACCGATCCCACGGCACCGACTCACCGGCGAGAGGGAAACACGGGGGGGTTTTAGTGGGGTAGGCCCTCCAGTCTGGAGGGAGAGTCCCCACATAACCCCTGAGTCTCCCTGAGCTCAGGGGTATCCATAAAGATTTCCCCCCGTCAAAAAAAAAAGGACACTACGACTGGCATCTCCGGCACTAGCCCGGAGAGATAGTAGAGGATAAGCTAGATATCCTCCGGTCCCTCCAGCAGCTTAGGTTATTGGGAACTGGAGAGACGTCGTTTTTCGGCGTCGGGAAGTGAGCGTGCCTTACAGTTCCGCCACCAATGAGGAGTTTTGGTAATGGACTCAGAGTCGATGGCTTAGCGGTGGTAACCGCTAGTTGTGCAATGCGCAACGGGAAGTGAGCGCGTCTCAACACCGGTACCTTTTTGAAGAAATAGGGAGGATACTGTACGTGCACCCGGGGCGGCTCACCCAAGGCACTAGTCTCTCGAAGAACCGGATAAGTCAAGTGACAGAGGTCTGTGACAACCCTGTACACTCGCTGATCTGGGGTCAGACCTGAACTTATAAGGTTCCTGTGCGCGCACAGGTGCCCTTCTCATATATCCTCAGGGTCGGTAGGAAGGGTTACTATAATCAAAACTAATGTAGAAAGATATGGGGCTGTCCGGCCGAAAAAAAATTACTGGTAAATAAGTAATACTCGACTAAACCAAAAGACAATGTCAAGTATGAAGCTTCATTCGGATCATGCGTCTTTTAATTGGTAGAGTATTACTTATTTGACACTAATTGTTACCGGACGGATGTCTGACGTTAAACGGGAGTAGACCCCCTGAAGTAATGGTAGCCGCTTCGACTGCGGTCGCTCGAGGCGAGTCGCTTAGTGGTAAATGGCACATAAACGTAATACCATCGAATTATATCGTGTTATGTACTCAAAAGGGTACGTGGGTAATTTTCAGGTAAGATTTTTGTACTCAATTTTGGTGATAATTTCTTTTTATTTAAATATTTACAGAATGTTATCATGAGGTATTATTTAATATTCGAGTGTGGTAACCTGAAATATTCTTTAACATTTCACGATGATATATTCGAGTAATTAAATAAAAATTGTCACCAAAATTCAATACAAAAAACTTACCTGAAAATTATTAACAATTTCAAATTTATAACAATGAATTGAAAGTGAAATTCGATTGTAAACAATGGAGAAAACTGTTTTCTATATGTTTGTATTCATGAGTAGTACAATCGACAAAACCCTCAGTTTTACACTTGAGTTGTAAGCTCGATTCTATGCCAGTTATAATGAAGATCTGAAGTGTAAAAGACAGTGCGATTTATATAGAGAGTTGAGAGTGTGTTGATTGTACGCTCTCTTGAAAGCGTTGCTAGCTCACCACAGTACGCTTATACTGATTCCAAGCCAGGCTAAAATTCAGGGTGCAATGTCAAACGCATTTGCAAAACCTATTCTTTGCGTTACAATGTTTGAAGTTAAAAGTTGTTACGAAAAGTGTGAAATTTATTTTTTTAATATTGGCACTCTGGACTTGAGACTAGCTTTTCATGTTAGAGGTTGGTGATATTTATGTATTCATGTTCCATCAGTAAAGTGCATTGGCAGACAACGTGTTAAACAGAATAAAAATATATTATGTATATTGTAAGGCACATAACATTTTCTTACCTTGCACAATTGTCGGTCAGTCTTCAAACATACAAAACAACGTTAACCAGTTTAGTAATATCATAAAACAGGGGAAAATGTATGTGCCGAACAATAGTGAAAAAAAAAATAAAACAATACAACAACGAGACATGAACAACAATTGTTTATTACGAACAAATTCAAACAGTAAGGAAGTGCATTCACTATTCTTCAGCACAGAATTGCGATAAAAAAATAATAAAAAGCCGATTGACTGTGGAAATTACAATTTAATGAATTAAAACAAAAATCCACCTTTTTATACAAAAAAATAATTGAAAATGAACATTTTTGAAACATCGCAGCGACCTTATACTAAGAGAAAGTTTATTCTTTGGGCACGCTATGCACTTCCCTACTTTGAAATTGAATATATTCAACAGGGGCGTATACGGTCCCTAATTTAAAGGAAGCTTCATACTGCACACGACTATATAAAAAAAAGCTATTTTAATCTTTGTATACGCCTATGTTTATAAGACTGCCATAACAAAACAAACTTATTCCGTTAACGTAGAGTCTCAATACGCCGCACCGTGTGGCTTGTATCGCTTTAGTTCCCGTTACTTCGAAATGATTATTTGTGGCACGAATTCGAGTAGCGTTTTTATCTCATTATGAACATATTTTGATGCTTCCCTTTAACTTCATAGAACTTAATTGTTAATACAAAGAAGAATTCCTAAGATCCGGCTGGACTTGAACCCGCGACCTCGCCAAACCGTGGCTAACGCTCTCCCAACTGGGCTACGGAACGAACCAGCAGACCTTACGAATTTCTCCACGTGCTACAAGCAGATCTTTGTTTTTGGTTTTAACGACTTTATGCCGTAGCGCCATCTGTGAGAAATCTATGAAAGTTTTTCTTAACTCATTCCATCCAGTATAAAACCAGTTTAGAGATGAAATGTCCAGTTTAGCTTGAGCTTTGCTATAATGGATGAAACTTTAAAAACTATATATTTAATTACCGATGAAATGTGATTCCGTTTATTTTGTAATTAGATGTTTTGCCGTTTTTCCCACACTACCGAATGGAACAGCCCCTAATAGTTAGAGATATTATCTTTATTACAATAAATACAGAATATTTTTGGAATATTCAGAGACGTACAGATCAGTTGTTGGCGCTGTACTATTTCAACTTTCTAATTTGTGATTTCAGTGCAAACGAGAGTTGAATATTTAAAAGTGATGTAAGGCCCATTTGCCTGATGATTTGTCAGGGATGGGTGGACCTTATTTCGTCTTTATTTCTGGTTATATACTCGATGACTCATTCATAGAACTTGCCTTTAGAGTCATCAGTTTTTTTTATTACGTTAAGACTAGTTTTCGAAGATACAACAGTTCTATTAAATTCTAGCTACTTAGAGTATGACAAACAAATAAATAATTATTACTATTTAAAAAAAAGGCTCATTAGGGTGATTGTAAGTGGAACTAGCGCGCTGGTTGTCTCATGATACACTGGTTCAGATCCAATACAAGCGTGCAAGCGGCTTTCAATTTGGTCGCTGCCTTCATTTGTTGATCCAGCCAGACTATATCGAAACAAATCGTCGATACATGAAGCGGACGCCATTACCCCTGATTTAACGTTACGGGAATTAAAGCGGCACAAAAAAGACAGTAAAATCAGCCCAATGTATTGGGAATCGACGTAACGGTAAAAAAAACACCATAAAATGTATACCAATGGTAACCTTAACAAAATAACAATGTTTAATTTTGGCACGATTACACTTTGAAGTGATTTTATCTTGAAACGTTCATACACTTCATGACTAAAATTGTTTAAAATCCAACTGTATAATAGCGAGTGTTTCAATGTTAATAAAATGTTTTGTATCATTATTTTTTGCCGATATAAAATGTAAACAAAAAAAAATCTTTTTAAACAATAAATATAAATAATAATCAAGCCGAGTAAAAAAGATAATGTTTACAACAGATAAATCTGGAATGTCAATGTATTGACTACTGAAAAGTTATAATTTTTTTAGAATTTGGTCAAAAAAGTAAATGATTTTCCAATTGAAAAAAATAAATTCACTCACAATTAATTTTATT